TACATGGTCGCGGAGCGCGGAAAGGGAAGCAACTGAAGGAGAAGCGGAAAAGAGTGGCGAGTAGAGCAGAGCAGAGCAGAGCGGAGCGGAGCGGAGAGAAGAGAAAAAAGGGATCGGAGTGGTGGGTCGTTGAGTGCGTGAAGGCGGATATGACGAGCGGATACGCCCGGCTCACGTGATACGCGACACAATCGCTCCACGGATAACGCTCTCTTGCAAGATATGTGGTAAGTCGTCAGATCTCCGTGTAATCTTCAGCCACGAGATCCTTCGAGCCACCGAGCAACAACACCCCGTCGCTTTGCGTCGCTTCGCGTCGCGTCGCGTCGTGCTTTACCGTCCCCGACTGCGATCCTCCTCGTCCTCGATCAATTTTTCAACCTCCTTCGAAACCTTCTGTGTCTTCTTCTCTACGGCAACGTTCGATTATTCAGCCGTGAATATTCCCTTCCGAATGTCTGGAAAGCAGCAAAGACATCGGTTCAGATTGCGAAGGCACGTGCCTTCTCCGCGTAAAGGGAAGCCACGAAAGTCGATTGAAACGTTCGATTCGTAAATAGAAGCAGTTTGTCCGAGTAACCGGTGCATGGAAACTTGGTTTTTCAGTTCAGACGATCGGTTCTCGCTAATCGGAAATCAATGGAAAAATTTGTAGAAGCTTCGGAAAGAACGTCTGTTGTTAATTAGAAAAGGTTTTAGACTCTCGTAAAAGCTCGATCGTTATGCCACTAAAAGGCGAACGTGCTCTTCCTTTATTACCACCCCTCCTCAAGTATCAACCTTTTTATTCTTCTGGATGACCTTTCTGCGTGGTTGCGTTCACTATCCTCAGCGCGCGAGAGATTCGCGTGGCGGTTGGCGGGCTGCTTCGTAATGCATCGCAAACTTTTCCACTGGGCCGAGCTTCTCGCTGACATTTATAGCGGTCGATTTCGAATTTTTACCACGGGCTCGATTTGTACCAACTTCTTCGTTCAATTCGTAAATTTCAGCGGGCAGGCGTCACCTCTATTCCTCTTCGTGTTTTCGACGAACGTGTCTAACGAACGTGTTGTTTCGACGGCCACGCGTGTTCGAGTCCCGACGGAAATGACGAAACACGTTAGCCGCCGTTCGACTCGA